TCCGTGCTCCTTGAGTGTTTCACAGTTTGCCCCGCGTTTCCCTTTGCTTTTCGAAGGGAGATCGAAGTTCAACTTCTGGAGAAAAGGGGCCTCGTTCCTTATTTACAGTAGGTTCGCGTCGTGTCGACCGGCGGCGACCCCGCCGCCGGCGTTCAACGTTGAACGCCGCCGGCGAGCCAGAATGGTTCGATGTTGAACGATCTGACGTTTCGGAAACGGCCAATCGTTCAAGGTCGAATGCCCCCCGCGGTGTCAGAAACCAACGCCGAAGTTGGCACGACACGAGCCTGCCGTAGGGTTCCTTAGAGGTCGGCGCCCCCGCCTGCAGGCGGGGAGTTCAACTTCTGGAGAAAAGGGGCCTCGCTCAACTTCTGGAGAAATCGAAGTTCAACTTCTCGAAGAGAAATCGAAGTGCAACTTCTGGAGAAAAGGGGCCTCGTTCCTTATTTAGGGCTCTTTAGAGGTCGGCGCCCCGACCGTAGGCGGGGAGCGTGCAGATGCCGGGCTGGTGCTCGGCACGGTGCGGGATCGGCCGAGGCCCCGCCTTGGGATCTCTCTCGAGCTGCTCTGCAGGGTGCTCGCGGGTTGGACCCGCCAGGCATCGCACTTCGAGGAGTCGAGAGAAGCATCGACGGATTGGCAAAAGGGGCTCGCTAGCTGAGAGGAGGAGGAGGAGGAGGAGGAGGAGGAGGAGGAGGAGGAGGAGGAGGAGGAGGAGGGGGAGGAGGAGGAGGAGGAGGAGGGGGATGAGGAAGAGGAGGGGAGGAGGAGGAGGAGGAGGAGGAGGAGGAGGAGGAGGAGGAGAAGGAGGAGGAGGAAGAGGAGGAGGAGGAGGAGGAGGAGGGGGAGGAGGAGGAGGATTAACGAAAAAACCCTTCGACGAATCAAGAGGAGGCGGTGGATCTGGGGAGGCCTCGGGCTATCCCGCGCCGCCGTGCTTGGGTCGTGGACGAGGGGGTAGCTGAGAGCCCAGTGGGCTCTGGAAACGACAGGGCAGTTTTTTTTGTCTGTTCCGTTTTGCTGCCTTTTGTTGGCCGATTCCGTCGCTGTATTTGTTGCCGGTTCCGTCGTCGTTTTTGCGCCTGGTTCCGGCTCTGGTTCCGATTCCGGAGCCGTCTTTCTGTTGTTTCCATGTTCCAGAGCTATTTGTTCGGGGGCCAAAAAGGAGGCTCAGGGTGGCCTCTTGGGAGTCACCTGCGGCGCCTCTCTGGGGCCCCCTTGGGTGCACATTTGAGGCTATTTGGGGGCTTCTCTGTGATCCTCTCGTTGGCCGCTTGGGAGCCTCTTGGGGGGCTCGGGGCCTTCTCCAAAAGGTGGTCTTGAGAGAGGCGCGCCAGTGCCGCGCTTTTTGGAGCCCTTCTGGGGGCCTGCTGGGCAATTTGCAGGGCCCATCCCGATCTCGATCGGTCCGATCCGGTTTCGAGCTCGCCTGGCTCGACCCGGTTCGATCTCGATCTTCCAGTGGCCCGATGCGGCCCAGTGCATACATGCCGTTGCTTGGCAGTTTGGTTCACCCGATGCACCCGACCTGACGCACATTCCAATTCGACTTGTTTTTTCGACTCGATGCTGACTGATCGTGCTCTGGGGCCAGCTTTGAGGCCTCATGGGAAGTTCGAGATATTAGACACTCAGACAGCCGAAAAGGAGAGAACGCTCTGATGATTGGACAGCCTCAGGGTATTCGGTTTATTGGCCTCCTGGGGGCTCTGAGAGGCCTGCGGACACTCCACTCAGTGCCTCGCGGAACGGTTGTGGATATAAGTGCGCTATGGGATTTGGGCCCTCTGCGTTAGTGGAGAAGCCCAGAGCCGTGTCTGGAACCACCTGCCTCCCCCCCTCCCGCCCCAGCTTGGCTTGGCCCTCCCCCAGACCAGCATAATCGGCACCCGGGGTAGGGTTCGGAGGCAGAGGTCTCCCGTGCCCCAAGGGGGTTACGGATTACAGGGGTCATTGTCTGTGACCTCGGGACTTGCCTTCGCGTGCACCAAGAAATAATAGAACAGGAAGCTGGACACACATGACGTGACCAGCCTGGATGAGGGCTGGATGCACATGTGGCTGTCTATGTTTTTAGTGTTTGACCCTCCGATGGCGCGGCAACCAGGGCTTCCGCATGCATATCCATCGCGTGGCCTCCAGATGTTACTCATGTGAGTCCAGCCATGTGTATTTCCAGCTTCCCGGTACTACGGCCCACGGCAAGTTTGGCTCAATCTCATGTTGTAGGAGTCTCATCTCTCAGGGCTCTCTATGTAGTTCATTTCTCTGGGATGGAAACCTCTATAAGAGAGTTGCCCACGTCTGCACAGCCTCAGGTTGAGGCTCCGATTGTCCGGACGAATTATGGCGCTCTGCGCGGTGTGGCGGGCAGAGGCTGCGTCGTGTTCCGAGGGGTGCCATTCGCAGAACCTCCGGTGCGATTCAAGCGCCCCTCCCCTCCCCGGCCCTGGAGCGGCATCCGTGACTGCACGAGGTACGGCAGGCGAGCTGTGCAGGT